ATAACGTTGTCGCCGATGTCATGTCGCGTATATGTCTTCACGAAGTTTCGCGGCAGAAGATTAACTTAGAAGACATAGCAGCTCATCAGCAAGGAGATCCTGAGTTTGTGCAACTGTGATCAAATCCGTCGATCAAAATCTCACAGTTGCCAATTCTTAAATCAGACTCCAAAATTTACTGTGATATTTCCACTGGCAAGCCCCGGCCTTTTGTCCCTCAGCAGTACCGCCGAATCGTCTTTGACCACCTGCATGGAATCTCACACCCGAGCATCCGAGCCACCGTCATGCTAATTACTGATCGCTTCATTTGGCACACCATGCGCTCCGAGATCCAGCAATGGGCCAAACACTGTATCACTTGTCAAACCAGCAAGATCCACCGTCACACGATTACCGTCCCCGGCACGTTTGCTCTTCCTGACGCTCGTTTCAAACATGTTCATCTTGACATTGTTGGACCCTTGCCTCCATCCAACGGTTTTGTCTGCTTATTGACATGTGTTGATCGTTATACGCGTTGGCCACTTGTCGTGCCTTTACGTGATGCTTCTACAGAAACTGTGGCGCGAACATTCATTGAGAGATGGATTTCCGTCTTTGGCACGCCAGCCACTATTACTACCGATAGAGGGTCCCAATTCAATTCGGCCCTGTTTCGTGACATGAACCACTTGCTCAGTTGTTCCCACCTACGGACAACTGCCTATCACCCAGCTGCTAATGACATCGTTGAACGTTTCCATCGTCAACTTAAAGCCGCTATTACTACTTCACAGTCGAACTCACAATGGTCAGAACGTCTACCGATTATCTTGCTTGGTATTCGTAACACCATTAAAGAAGACATTGGTTGTTGTCTCGCTGAGTTGGTCTTTGGCACTACTCTCAGACTTCCTGGAGAAATGGTGCTAGACTCAAGGGTTAGTGGAGAAGTTGATCCGACCTCGTACATCACACGCCTGAGGCGACACTTCAGTTCAATTCGTCCAACACCCCTCGAATCAGTCCTCGGAGTCAACAGGTACACCCGGATTTGCGCACTTGCCCCTTCGTTCTCGTGCGTGTCGATTCCGTCCGTAAACCTCTGACACCGCCTTACGAGGGCCCCTTTAAGGTTGTTCTCGGAACGAGAAGTACTTTGTGCTGGATAGAAATGGTTATCAGGATACTGTGACTGTTGTCCGCTTGAAGCCGGCGTACATCGAGACTCAACCGCTACCAAAACCCACTTATATTCCTGTCACCGACCAGCCCACCTTCCCAAGTACGCCTCCTGCCCAGCCCATGTGTGACACCTCTGTTCCCTCTTCTGTACCCCAAGCATCTCACGACACAAACTCGAAATCGCATCATCGAACACGCTTCGAACTTACAGTTGTCCTCCCTTCCAGACACAAGTATCGAGCTTTCGTCTCAGTGACTCACGCTCTAGGGGGGGGGGGAGTTCTGTAGCGCTTGTACATATCTCTCTTCCCAATTGTACTTTCCTATTCTCATTTCCATTATTATTGTACAGTTTTGTTTTAACTGACCAACAACCGATAAAACACTTTTTCGGGTTTCGATTCGCCTTCTGGTTTCGGCTACGCGTGTTGTGCTGTTGATCGTCGTCGTTCTGCTAGCGTCGTCCATCGATCATCGGATCTAACGCGTCGATTTGTTGTGCCGACTAGTTTCGTCTTCCGACCAGATTGTGCGACCAACTGACGGCCTACCGAAGATCGTGCTTTACCTAAGGTCAGCTACAGCATTCTTATTTATAGACTGAGAGTTCTTTTATGTAGTTAAGCTCTTTCCATTTGGCCTTTCCACTACAGGACACTTACATGAGTTGAAACAGACGCGAAAACCACGGTTCATCATTGTTGATGCCCATAAATAGGGCCAAGTGTTCTGTTCTCCGAATCGGAGTTGTTAATCCACTCACCCGATATGTTGTCTGCGATGGTGAACTCCATGATGTCACTCAACAGGTTAATTTAGTGATCGTACACTCATCAACACTTCATTCTGGTGACAATTGGAAGAAGGCTGTTTGTCGGGGGTTTGGTATGATGTGGTTTATCTGCCGCTCTTTTGGAATCCTAACGGCCAATTTGTTTGTGAAGCTATTCTCGGCATTCGTCCGACTCCACCTGGAATATTGTATCCAGGCTTGTCCACCATGTCTTATCCGAGACAAAATGGACTTGGAGAGGGTGTTACGAGTGGGCACTCGGTTAGTGCAGGGTCTACGGGGACAGACGTATCCTGAACGCTTGCTCACTTTGGGGATGTACTCCATGCACTACCGAAGGATAAGAGAGGACCTGATTCCCATTTATCGTATTTTGACGGGTAAGATTGGCCCGGATTTGTCGGGGCTATTTAGTCCCTCTACGTTACCTAATCTCCGCGGTCACCCACTGAAACTACATAAACCATGGTCTGCTAGGATTACGAAGGAAATTTGTCTGTCGCGCCTAGTTAGATCGCTGGAATTCGCTTCTAGATCACGTGGTTAGGGAACCTACGGTCAAGGGTTTTGCTCGCCAACTCAATGCTCTTGGGTGGCAACACCAATCCTTTCCTTTTTCCTAACTGACTCACCTTCACTTTTCACTTCCTTTTGTAATGACAAATATCTTGGTATTCTACTTGCTTGGCTTTTTCCACTTTCTCTTTTTGCTTTCTGAGTTTACTTTTTTCTCTTTCTTACTTCACGTAACCGGCCCAGTAGGGAGTGGTAAGGCAGGATACGTGGGCATTAATTGGTTAGACAGGGTGTGATGCGGTCTTTGTTTTAGGTCCATCAGTATTTCTAACTCTGCCAACTCCTGGTTCAACGACTCGCTGAAGAAGGAACACTCACCGGATAATGCTATTGTTCCAGTCCCGCTTGAACTTGTCATCCAACCTGGCGAACCTGTACCAAATAAGCCTCGTTGCCTGATTGCCATTTCAAACAGTGCGGAATATGGGTGAAGTGCATACGATGTTATTCAACTGCAATGGATTCCTTTTAAGGTCGATATTCCATATCCATGTATCTAATTCTTATTACGGATCTTGTTACGGATCTGTTCAACAAATCATTGTCTGAGGGCTCATTGCCAAACGACTGGAAGCGCTCGGTGGTGAGGCCGATCCCGAAAGGTGGCTACCCCAGTAAGGTGGATAACTACAGGCCAATTTGTCTTACACCCGTTTTGGCCAAAGTGATCGAGAAGATAGTAAAAAAGCGTGTAATACGTCTGTTGCAATCGAAAGAACTTCTGACACTGGCACAACACGGATTCAGGATGGGATATTCTTGTGTTACCAACTTACTTGTGACGAGACAGGAATGGTTGCAAGCACTGAACCGGGGAAAGTCCGTCGACGTAATCTACATCGACTTCAGCACATCATTCGACCAAGTTAATCATGAAGTGCTTCTAGACAGATTAAGGTCGTGTGGTGTCGGAGGATCGTTACATCGATGGATCCATGAATTTCTCCTTGGAAGAAAGTGGAGGGTATAGATGGACGGCCATCTAACCGATTGATATCCCTCTACCAGTGGTGTACCTCAAAGTACAGTACTGGGACCCACTCTGTTTCTCATCCACATCAACGAGCTGCCCCAGCTTCTACGGCCGCCGTGTGCACTGTTTGCGAATGACCTCAAACTTTGGCGAGAAATTAATACTCTCGATGACTGTGACATTCTCCAACAAGACCTCGACCGCCTCGCAGTATGGTCTGCTGAAGTCCACCTACCGGTCAACCCGGCAAAGTCCGTATTCATGAATCTCGGGAAGGCTGTTCACGGCCGAACGTACACCCTAGACGGCCAACCACTGCATCCCACACTTTCCGTGAAAAACCTAGGTGTACTCTGACGCTGCGACTTGAAGTCCGTCGACAACACCAACAAACTATATCGAAACGGACTGCGCATGCTCTGGGCGCTGAAGCGCAGCTTCTGCACTTAGTCTGAGGACGTCGCCACTCGCCTCTTCTCTTCCATCGTCAGACCAATGCTAGAGTACGGCTCGCCTGCATACTGTCCGATCACTCGCGGCGAAGCGCAAAAGATCGAACGAGTACAACACGTCGCCACCAAGTTGATCCCCAGCTTGAGAAGGTTATCGTATGAAAACCGGTGCATGAAACTTGGGCTCTACACCTTGTCGTATCGCCGTGTTCGAGTGGATCTTATCATGCCCTACCGTATTTTACATCTCGGTCATTTTCCCATGCTGAGATCGTTACTCCACTTGCGAGTACCATGCACCACACGTGGGCACCGGTACAAACTTGTGGTACCTGATCTGAAGAAAATCCCACACCCTCTGTGTTTCGAGCGGAGGGTTGTGCACGCCTCGAACAATCTGCCAGAACACGTCGTCGAGGCCGAATCTGTGCAGAAATTCAAATCTTTGCTGGATTTACACTTCGCGAACATACGTTTCAGAGATCGGTTGCCACTTGACAACGATATCACCCACTTGTGACTCACTGTGTGAACAAGCATTTTGTGTACTACAGAAGGAGTTACTGAACCGTCTCAGGATAACCACCGGACGTGTTTATTTATTTTTTTAAAATGTTTTTGGTTATCACCCGGTGCAGTTGTACGGAATTATTTTCTACTTGCTCCAAAATACAGTATTCAGTATTCACGCAATGACCATCATTTTGGCTGACGTACCCAAACGCAACGCTTCCGTAAGGCTAATTTTCCGTACAAAAGTTAGCCACTCCCCTTGCGTCGGTCAGCGCTAAGTAAATCTTCATACTGATCCGGTTCTTACTAGATGGTTGAGGTAACACTATTCAATCGCCTACGAAGTCTTTGTTTTGCCTTGCAGCCCCACCGGTCTCTTACGACGGATTATACGCGAGTGACGTAGAGGAACTCGGAACCTTCGACCGCACGCATACTACCTACTTGGCGACCCTGCCAGTTTTCGAACCGTTTTCTGTATCGTTTTCCTCCTATCCTACATCATCGTTATTGCTTTTTTGCAATTATGTTTGGTTTCAGTGCTGTTATGGACAGGGACGTAAAATCCTGTTCCGCCACCAAAATAGTCACGATAAACGTTTCTGGCCAGTCTTCGCATGAGCCGTCTTTCTTTGTACTGTTGGTCTCGGCCATTCTCGGAGTGCTGAACACCGTTGTCTATGCAGGACAAGTTCGCATAACGGCGGCCCCTCCACCACCGCCCCCGGAGAAGTTTCACCTCGGTGGCAGTTACGACCAATGGGAACTACAGACCCGTGGAAGAGAGCACCCGCTGGTAAGCATCCTAGCCAGCGAGGTATATAATATCACGTCTTCGGTCGTGAACGCATTTGCCACCGTCGACGATTCAATCGACTACGGTCGGTGCTATCACCCTCCCTAGACCTGTGGGAGCATCGTCGACAATTTCACGTCCTCCACCAAAAACCGGGAGAGCGATTTACATGCCTTATCGTGGCGTTACAGAGGTTGGCATTGCGCTGTTATCCGGATGAAGATAAAATCCGGGGCGAATGTTTCAGCAATTCATGCTGAGAACAAAGGACCGCGACACGCTTAAGGAGCTGCTGGAGCAGCAGGCCGCCGGACTCGACAAAGCGTTGAGCTTAGTGACCCCTCGGGAGCAAATCATTGTTTTTCTCTCGCGCGGGAGCACGCACGCCTCCCAAGATCATAGCCGACAGGTGGCCGCAGTACAAAGCAGAGGCTCTTTAAGACCGAACAGCTGACCTGCGTTTCGGTGACAACAAGTCGAAACGAACAATCCTCGAAGTCCCGAACACGACCCATACAGGCAACCACACGCCACTTGCTATTACTGCCGACGGTTTGGAAACGCTGCCTACACTTGCGGACACAATCAAGGATTTAAGTCCCAAGTGTGCTCGTATATGATTCCAGCTGTTTTCGGCGTTCACCCTGCAATCTCTCCTATAGTGTTTAGTTTCATGTGGGCTCTACGCACGAAAATCTTAGTGGATACCGGTTCTATGTCCTCATTAGTCCATAAGAGAATAGTCCCAAGGGACGCAGTCATCCGGCGGAACTGATCGGTCAGCTTTATTGCAGTCAATGGAACTCCCATAAACCAGCCGGCTGGACCGACGCCACTATCAAGCTAGGAAGGACTAGCCACTCACCGTTGTTTCGTAGTCGAGTACCTTCCTTGGAATGTCGTTCTAGGAGTAGATTTTCTTTCTCATTTAAATACTAAGGTTGATTAAATCAGACACACCCTTGAGATTAACGTGCAGTTGATTCCATTCAGCTCACCAGTCTATCCGATGTTGCCGTGCACAGTAAAAGAGGAGCCGAAACGGAAATTTCTCCATAACCTTACGGAAGCTCCGACTCTGGCCTGCAGTGGTTTAGAAAACATCTTAGACAGTTACGTACATGTGTTTGCATGGTCCGATGATGATGTAGGTCGATGTAACTTTGATCAGCACCACACTAACACCGGAAACGCGCCACCAACTTTCCAATCGGCAAGGCGTGTGCCGATTCACTTCCAGAAAAAATTGAGGTGCGTTATTGACACATGTTAAAACGCGATATCATCCGAGCGTCCAAATCACCCTGGACATCCCCTATTGTCCTTGTGAAAAGGAAGAGCGGAGAGTTGCGTCTCTCTGTCGACTATCGTAAGCTGAACGTAATCACATGTAAGAACTCGTTTACACTACCAAGAATGGACGATACCATTGATGCTCGCTCTACGTCACGCTGGTTTTATATCCTGGACCAAGCTTCTGGCTATTGGCAGGTCAAACTGCACCCAAACGATGGATGCAAGTCTGCCTTTATCGTCCCATCTAGCCTGTTCGCATTTCAAACTATGCCTTTCGAGCTAACTAACGCTCCGACCACTTTTCAACGATTAATGCAAACCGCACTGTCTGAGTTCATACCACAACACTGCCTAGTCTACCTGGACGATATTATCGTTCACTTACGCGTATTAGATGGCAGTATGTACTTTCAAAACAGGCCGGTCTATCTGCGGAAGATACTTGTCCCCACGGCGTCAACCCAGGAAGCAATGCGAAGGATTCATGAGGAACTGAGGCATGCTGAACAAAATAAGATGGAAGAAGCAAATCTTCGTCGGTTTTGATGGCCACATTTAAGACGAGATATTACGATCTACTGTTAATCATGTACCGACTGTGCACGTAACAAGAACCCGCCAACGACTCGTCGTGGACCCCTACAGGCAATGACGGCGGGGTTTCAGAACGATTTGCTAGACATCGACATCATTGGTCTCCTAACAGAGTCCACTAGGGGAAGTCGTCATGTTTTGGTTATGGTGGACTACTTCACAAAGTGGTATGAAGCGGTCCCCTGGAAAATACAGACGCATGGAGCGTAGCAACAACTTTCTTCAGTCCCTGGATAGAAAGGTGAGGTTCACCCTATCAGTTCACTCTGAGCGTAGAGCCAACTTCGAAAACACGCTCATGTGTGAGTTCTGCCATATATTCGGCATCCGGAAGACACGAACTACCGCATACCACCCGGAAGGGAATAGGCTGGTTGTGCTCACAAATCGTACGCTTCTTGAACATTGAGACACCTCGGGAGTGGATATATCTTTAACTCGATGTTTGTTGGCCTATCGAGCATCCGTGCATTCATCGACGGGCCAAACACCGCTAAACGATGACAAGGCGCGAGCTTCGCTTGCCCTTGGACACTTGCCGACCACTCACCATGAACTCATGGTCGCGTCTGATCACATACTTCAAATACAATCCGGACTGCTGCGTACACACTAATTGGCACAGTTGCATTTGCAGCTTTCGCAACGCCAAAAGGTGTATTTCGATCGCAAGGCCTTCGGGATTCCTTTCAATCCAGGTGACACCGTTTTGCTCAAGGTATTAGTAGTCCCAACGGGCGTCCCTGCTACATTCCGTCGTCAATGGGAAAGTCCGTACGTCGTTGAGAACGTACTACCTGACGTAACGTACAGAATCATTAAGCCTGGCGTACCGGGTTCATCCACTTGTGCACTGCAACAGGCTGAAGCCGGCCAAGGGTGTTAGTAGCGCTGAGGACAGCGCCTGTTAAAAAGTGGCTTATCGTAACAGATCGCAACGGTTCGTCTAACGCGCCGTTCGAACGACTACTAAATTCTTCCGTTATCAGGCTATTGTAGTTACTCAATTACATGGATCAACGACGGCATCAACTATGGATGGACTCTAGCACGTTATTGTTTATCCCTTTACTTCCCGGTCTTAGCCGTGGCACTTTGACCTTGTAATTTCCTTCTTCTTCTCTGTCGTGCTTCTCCTTCGCTGTCTGCTCGTCAGTCAGTGCTAAATACATCTTCATACTGATCCGGTTCATACTAGGTGCTTGAGATAACATTATCCAACCGTCTATCAAGTATTTGTTTTACCTTGCAGCCCAACCGGTCTCTTACGACAGATTATACGTGAGTGACGTGAAGGAACTCGGAACCCTCGACCGCACGCATACTACAATCACCAACCCCATCATGTCCCAAGAGGCCACCATGATTGCGTATGTTGCTATATATATCTGATCGATGTTTACTTTTCAGGGTAGACGATAGTGATTACATGAGAAATGGGGATTTCCTTCCCACCCGTTTGCAAGCGCAAAGCGATGCCGTGAGCCTTGTTTGCCAAAGCAAAAGGCAAAGGAATCCCGAAAACACAATTGGACTTATTGCTTTGGCTAAGAGGGAGATACTATGCACTCTAACCAGTGATTCTAGCAAAATCTATAACCGTCTTCACACCGTTGAACCCAAGGGGAATATTAGCTTTTGTACCGCTATTCGGATAGCTCATTTGGCACTTCGTCACCGACAGTTACGACATCAGAAAATGCGCATCGTGTGTTTTGTTGGTAGTCCCGTTACAGATGAGGACAAATCAGTAAGGTGTAATAGGGCTAATTTTCCATTGTTGTAGTTGACAGAATTGGCGAAGCACTTAAAGAAAGAGAAAGTTAGCGTTGATGTCATCATCTTCGGCGAAAATGACGTTAATAAGCAGAAGCTGTCGGATTTTATCGACGTGCTGAACGGTAAAAGCGGTGGATCATCTCACTTGGTATCGGTTCCGCCAGGAGCCATTTTACACGATTCACTTGTAACAAGTCCTATCATAGCCGGAGAATTCGGAGGGACTCTGGCGAACTCTAGCCTTGGACTCGGCTTCGGTCTAGATGCCAGTGAAGATCCTGATCTACTTTACGCCTTAAGAGTATCAATGGAAGACCAGCGTATGCGTCAAGAGCAAGAAGTTAATGCCGGTGCCGCTGGGATCACAGATGCAGCGACCACACTTCCTGGTATGTTCACTTACTTTATCTTTATCCTCTACACATAGAGACCAGATTTCCACCTTTTACTTGTATTGTCAAACGGAGGTTTAAAATTGTCTAGGGGACGTTGGCTTAGGTTTGACTTGGAAAATAACTTCACACGGCGGCCGTTGACCAAGTGGTATCAGGTGTCTACCTTGTAATCCACAGGTCGCCGGTTCCTATCTGCGTAGTCCAGTCCACATGCGGCTGGCGATAGTCGCGTGACGGCGAAGCTTCTTTACGAAGTACCATCTCACTGCTGATGTTTTGGATAGATGGAGCGACTAGCTCACTTGAAGCAAAAGAGGTGGCCCTGCTGGCATGTCGGTTTCAAGGTATTCCTAACCCCTGTGTGTGCTAACTACGGGGATGTTGGTCTGACTACGATGGTGGCAAATTACTGGCCTCAAATCTCGCTCGTCGTTTCACTGCGACGGAAATTCCGGTTTGGGGAAAGCAGGCCAATCTCCACTCACTCATCATCATCAGTACACGTTAGCGAGGGTGAGAAACGCCCCAGCTAATGTGCCGCAACACAAAAGGTGATAAGAGATTAAATATTACAGGCTACGGAAGTTAAAAAGCTAACAATACTAAAATCACCTTATACGTGTTTGAGATCGTTGTTGAAGGGAAGAGCTAAAGGAGGAACTAAGAGACTCAACACAAACGCCATTTAGGTCGGCTTCTTGCCATGTCAGCTACTGTCCAACCAAACGTGTTCATCGTCTTTCGGATCCCAACCCGGCATTCGGTAAACATCAACCGACACCAAGTTTGAAGTGAGGGACTTCATTCTTCTTGACCACGTCATCGCTTGGCTTCCCCTCCTCTTCCTCTAATCCAGACTTCGGGCTCGCAAACAACGCACGACACCGGAGTCGGTGTGCTGGCAATCTCCACCCAGGAAGCTGTATAGACCACGTTCACTCTGTGGCAGGTGCTAGAGTGACGTTACGTTTACCACAGATCGATAATCGCAATAGTCCCCGGTTTCAAGAGAACGTTCGACTAAGTAGATCCATCCATTCGGTTCGACACGCAGAAGTTTTTCTTGAAAGGGGAACATTTTGCGTGCCGTGAACTCGAATATCACAGGCTGCATGTAGGTCAGATCAGGTTTCTGGGACGAAATATGCTACCGCATAACGAGCATCCTTTTGTACCTGCAATCAAACCATAGTCCCCAGTACTTCGACGTTAGTGCAACTTTCGTTGTCTCTTCCTAAGAATTAAAGCAAGAATAAGAGTAACCTTTGTACTTCCTTGAATTATATAAAATGTGGTCTGTGACAGTTGTCAACCAATTTACAATTATTCCAGAAAATGATCCAAACGATATACGTAGGTTTTTTCTAACGACTTCCACAACGATGCTTCTCACTAAGGGTCTACGTAATTTGTCTGATTTCTGATGAAGTGGTGTTCATCGCGATTGTCTGTCTGTCGTGCACTCCATCGCGGAGCGTTGCTTTGCAGTGTCTCACAGTGCAGCTGTTGAAGCGCTGCCTGGTGAAAGCTAGTTGGTCTCGATTATGCAGACGTATTTTCGCTGTTTGCTTGGCCCGGTCAATCCCGTCATTCTGCATGCGCTTTGCACCGTCAAAGCAGTGTTCCAAAGCCACTAGCCACTTTGTAATCTCTTAATCCTTGTTAAAGAAGATCTTTAGGTATGTAATCAAGTCACCTACCTTGGTTACTGCATCGACATTGGTGGGCACTTAACCACTGAAGATAGAAGGCCACTGTGATGGCCGTCTTCCTCTATGGTGGTGGGACTTGAACTCTTCGGTCTGAGGATATAAAGCGCCTTTAAGTCGGATCATATTTGCTTACGGCGCATTCATGGTCTCGGATGGCCCCAGCGTATCTGCGACGTTATTATGCACAAATGCTTATTAGGCGGGGAAAATCAGGCTTCTTCCTTGGAAGTGCAAATAACATTGGGTAATTTGCCTTGTGCTAGCTCGTGATCTGAGACCTTATGTTTGAAATTGTTCACTGATGAGTTGCACCTCGGCCGCCAACAAGGTATCGTAACGGTCAGCAGTCGTTTCAAAGGTGCAAGTGTTTGTCTACTTCTGGCGATCACTAACTTTCGGTACATCCATCGCTGAAGAGTAACATAGCGTCCACCAGCGTCACACGTAAATTGATCATAATGCTGAAGTGGTTGTGTCCAAAACTGCCGCCTGATTTGCAGCACGAGCGTGGTCTCTGATCACGAACTAGTATGTGGCGATCTCCGAGTGCGTTTCTGTAGACACCCGCGAGGATACTGCGAGCTCGTACACACATGCCCACTTACCAAACCATTTGTTCTGAATGCTTATTAAAGTGCGCCAGTATCTGGGATTCGTATGCATTCATTGAACACAGTTGAAGGTCACTGGTCGCATGTACCTCAGACCTTATTAGCAACCCGTATCTCCCCACGCGGTAAATCCCATTGGCTACCTGGCCACTAAATCTCCACGCATTTTCTGGGACTTCCGCATGCTCTCGGTCTATTCCGGATTGTAGCGAACACAAGACTCGCGAAGATCCGAGGGTAAAACGGCGTGCTAGCTTGAAGGGAGGTCGCCAGGCGTGGTGATGTCATCGTGCATCTGAGATGGAAAAGTCGCCGCGCTTGGTAACCCTTGTTAGTTATTTCGTCTGATACTGGAAACGGGCACCAAGAGACCCGGTGTTAGCCGGACTATATGCCACAAGGCAACAGCAGTACGCCGGTACATAGTACCGACTCTTCGCTGCAGCTCAACGACCACCGGTCACACGTGGGCTAAGAATAATGCGATGCTTACCCTGTCCCTACGCAGACCCGGATCCGCGCTCTCAGATTGCAAGACAGGCATACGCAACAAGATTGGATAGACTATCCATGACCTGTCTAAACGCCTGGCGCATTGGGCTGAGTACTTTGAAAGGTCCTTTAATCAACCAGAACTTCTAGGTCTGCTACCGCCATTTGAGCGCCCTGCTCTTTGAATCGTCTCCTTAGATCCGCCCTCTCGCTCAGTAGTGGAACCTGAAGCCGGATTACTTAAGTTAAATGAAGCAGCAAGACTATATCGGTTTCCTCCAGCCCCTCACATTCGGGGACCTGCTTTTCTGGAAAATTTACGCGATTTTTAATGCATGTAACTATCCCAACCGATTAAAGCCGCTCCGTTATTGTCCCGATTTTCAAAGGGGGGCGCTCGCATTCAGAATCCGACCTCCTTCTTTAGGTACTTCGCCGCTGTCGTTTTCACTGTGTCTGGTGCTTGTGGAAGCTGAATTCTGGAAGAGAAAATCGGCCTCATCAAACCTGAGGTTGCGTCGATCATAACTTCACTTCCCGTCAATTCTGCTGCACTGTCACATGTACTGACAACCCACCGTAGTCATGTTTCTCGACATCAAAGGTGCCCTCAATTCGGTTAATCAGTATGCTCTTTTGGAAAGGTGTGCTCGAGAAATAGACAGGTATGATAAGAGCACACAGTGGGGTCTAATGCCCAGTTGTTACCGTTCTTCAATATCTCCAGCAGTGTGGCATGGATACCACTGTCACCTTTCCTTTACAACTTCGCCATTGACAAAGGAAAGCTGCGTCCATTGAACGCAGGTGTGGATTTGCTTCCAGGTGATCTACCTTTTTTACTTAAACTTTGCCGAGGATGTTACTCTGATTGGTTCCAACCCACGGACGTGCCAATCGGCATTGGACAGACTAGCACTAGCTGTCGATGGTTTCGGGCTGTGCTCTGCACCCTCCAAATGCAAGGCTCTTCGCCAAGATTGGCAGAAGCCGCCAATAGCGTTGACCCTTGATGGGGGTAGCTAAAAGTCGTTTGGAAATTCAACTATCTGGGTACGTGCATCAGCGCCTGTGGAATAGTAGACTAGATCACGAACCATATATTGAGACCGCGAGGTGCTTTTGCCAATCCTTGCCACTTTTGGCTTCGACGCGACACTACTCACCTTGAAAGGTAGGGGCCGCAATGCAGCGGTTCGTTCAACACTTCTGTGTGGTTGTGAAACCTGCCCTATCAAATAGACACACATAAACAGGCTTGGTACATCCGACCACCGATGCATTCGCAACTGGCTGGCATAACGCCTGAGCAATGGGTGTTCAGTATCTTGTTTATGGTGCAGAAAAAATAAGTAGACTTCACCGTTATATGAGGCACCAGGTTCCGATGGCCGTGTCTCGTGTTGCCCATGCCGACTCACCGACTTCCGCGAGGTGCGTTGTTTGCTCAACCGGGGTCTGGATAGAAGAAGCGAAGGCGGACCAGCCGATGACTTCGTCAAAAGAAATAGAGACCTCGGTTGTTGCATCTCTGACTGCTGGAAAGGGTCTCGAGGATGGCAAACAAGTTTGGTTTGGCACAATACTTGGTATGGCCGGGAACCGACTTCAGTTGCTATTGTATGGTGACCTTCGTCCCTCCCCTTTCCGCTTAGGCCTTTCTTCCAACAACGTTCCCACACTCGATGCAAAATAAAAAAGTACTTCTTTGGTTTTTGTTTTCTGTAATGTTTAGTGTTATAATGCGTCCTAGTTGTTTCGACCTTTAGTCGGAACTGACGAACGTCCTTCACAAATAGTACCCTACACGTGCAGAGTAGCCAATCGAATTCGTTACGTTGCAGGCTAACGAGGCCTATTTACCAGACGTAAACGCGGGCTGGAACTGGAAACGAAAGCTCGCAACCTAGCACGACTACACTGAGACCCAAATGAGAAAGAAGACTGAGAACTAGAGATGGGGATGAGGCACTTGAACTGCTTCTCTGAGCGAACCAATTTGAAAGCACCTGCATTCACGATTGACGATACCGGTATACGTGATGAAATCGTCGTCATCACGCTTGTCCAGTTAGAGACATTAAAACCGGATGTTGAACAGTGTGAACTGTTCTCCAACTATATTCGGCAGCGTCTGGATCAGGTCAACAAATGGAACTTCTTGGGGGTTCTTCGATAG